ATATTTTTGTTTTTGCTGCACATTAAACTTTAACACTTCAAGCTACTCTTATATGCTGGACAAACAAATTTTACGCCTTCAACAGCAGTTATAAAATAAGGTAACATGAAATGGTGAGGGCACTTTTCATGAAATTCTGCTATTTCCCCATTTCTTTCTGTTTTAGGAATTGTCAAAGACAGTCTAGACGCCTCTTGCATTTTCACATTATTTACTCAACAACTGGAATGTGAGCAGCTCATTTTCTTCGGGGGCTCCAACAAAAAATCCGCATTTGCTAAGTCAGCAAAGTGGGTGAAATTTGTGGATGTGACGAAACTTATAACCTTTTCGGCTTAATCTGCATTAAAAAATGAAAGAAGTTGCTAACCTTGACGCTTGCAGCATACGGTGGACTGTTGATTATCGCCGACATGACAGTAGTGTGTTTCCGGACATGATACATTTGTACAGCGCATTATACGCCCATTTATGCGCAACGGTTCGATGCCATCCGAACAGCTGAGCGATTCTGTAAGTAAATTTGGGCTGTATTAACCTGAGAAAAACAGACAAAATCACTTTGGCCATTCTGCAACAAAAAACCTAGGGAGTGCGAAAGTCGATGGCTAAGCAATCAAAGTCTGAAGAGAAAAGCTTCATCTGGATTTTAAGGAAGCTGTATGCAGTACACCGTAAATGTGTGATGATATTCAACAGGGACATCGAAGTAATTTTACCTGATTCGCAAGCTCGTTCACAGAGTCGTTTGGTGACAAAGTTGTTCTCGTTGCCCTTAAGCCCCCGATAAACGAAAGGCGAACAGAAGCGTCGTTTGATGTTGAAGTACCAACGCTGCAGCTCCTCATCACCTTCACCTTCGCTCATATAAACGCTGCATGGATCTTCTGCAAAATGCACTACTCATCATGCGTTTTACAGCTGTTCAACGCTCTTTTATTCCTTGGCTTGAAAAAAAAATGAGATGAAATGAGACACTCCCACAGTTGCAATTTGTAACTCAAACACTCCCACAATT